ATTTGAGTTTGCCAGTGAAATACTAGCAGTAAAATGTTATATTCTCAGTTTTTCATTGTTTGTTTTTCTCTGCAGGTGCTTATAGAAAATGCCAAAGCTAATGGAGATGTTAGAGCTCTGGAACTAAATGAGAAATTGTCAGCAAGTGCCTAGTATGGACTATCTCAAGTGAAAAATTTTCCATTCATTTAACTTAATCAGTCCATCTTCCAAAAGCATATGTGGTTTGGGATTTTTTATTTGTTTGTGTCTGGTTTTGGTTTTTTTGTTCCATCAACTGCAAGTTTGTCTTTAGTTTTACTTTTTTCTTGAGCAAATGTAGGTTATTTTCTTGTTGACATGAGTTCCACCATAAAAGTACACTTTATTTGAAAGGAAAACCCTGAATTTTACTTTCGTTTTCTTCCTCACTGAAACTTCAGCACTGTTTGCAATGGAGAGTACTTGTCTGTTTTTCCCCCTTGGCCACACACAGAAGTACAATATTAACTGTAATGCAAGGTTGTCTTGGCACAGAATCTTCCTAGCAAAGTAGCAGCAAACTTTTCTTCTCTAGTCAATATTGTAAAACACTCAGAGATTTAAAATGCCCATATTCCTCTGATATGCTTTGTTGTGGGGTTGAGACCCAGATCCACTTGGAACTTCATGTGGCGTCAATTTATACTTTTTTAAATATATTTTTTTTTTTTTTTTTAGCTAATCTTAAGTACAGCAGTGTATCCTCTTGACTGCAGGCTTTAGTAAACATTCCCATCAAGAAAAGCTTGTGATCATCAGGGACAGGGTCATATTTATAAATGCATATAACGGGCTCTATTTATGTCTTGGTAATTCTGCTGCTGACTGCTTAATTGAATGAATCATGACACTGTTTCTTAAGACGTGATGTTATTTTGCCTTTATGTACATGGAAATAAAAAAAGATAAAGCAATGATTCTAATGTGTTAATGTTAGCAGTAGGATTTTCAGGCTGTTGACAGGAGTTACGATATCTGTCCATTTCCTGGTTTAAAGTTTCTTAAAGTTCCTGTCTGTCCACCGAAGTCTTACAGTGACTCATATGATCCCATATGGCAGAGGAGAAAGGGCACTTCCAATGTGTGCAGTGGGACCGCACTGAACATACACTTGGTTTTGGAACCAGTTCTGTTGGGCTTAAAGAAGGCAGGATGCCGAGCTGGGGTGTGTGGAGTGTGCACCTCTGCGACCAGCCATGCTCAGTGATCTCTGGAAAGCAGGCGAGAGCCACAAGCGTGCCGCTGTCATTGTAAAGAGGAAAGCCAAGCTCCGTAGGCTGGCGTTTCTACTCTGTGGAGGTGAGTAGAAACCTCTGAATGGCAAGAACCCTGCCTTGTCTCCCACGCTTTCATTCTCCCACCCACCTCAATGCAAAATACCTTCCTTAAAAAGGTTTTTTTTTTGATAAATTTAGATCGATTGTGGTTCCCTTCACAGCCAGCTGTCACACAGACTTGAACTATCAGTAACTGCAGATACTAAAAGGGAGTGTTGCAAAAGCCGTACTCGTGACTCTCAAGACTAGCTGTAACTGTTTTTAGCTTGCTGCTATTAAAAGCATGGAAAAGTTCTTACAGCCTATAGTTCATATCCTTGTGGATGGTCTTGATATTTGTACCTCCTACTCTAGTGGTGGGAGAGCCATCATCACCAGCCTGACAACAGCACAGCAAGCAGCTGCCTGCCCTTGTTAATGCATTAGGCAGAAAAGCTTCTGTGTTGAGTATTAACCTATACTTTGTTCATTACTAAACCCTGAATACTCTGTAACATCTAGGAGAACAGACAAATAACAGCGGGCCAGAGAAACCAGCTAAGTAACTGTCGACTGTGAATATTCCATATTAGAAAAAAAAAAAAATAATGCATTGTTTTTTCTCTTCAGAATACCATGAAATTACTTTTACTGTGATCAGTGATGAACTCCTTGAACAAGATAATTATACAGCCCAAACTTGTATTACATGCCCCGTAGGAAAAAAACCACCACATATCTCTACCACCTACTCAGTAAAAAGTGCTCAGGGAACACAAGCTTAAATTCAAGCTTCTGCAAATTTCAACAGGATGAGGGAAAAATCTTGCTCTCCTCATTTTTCAGCAATGTATAGCCTCTGCAGAATCAATACTTGTAGAAGGTCTGTGTAACACTGAAAAAAACTGTAAATTCATGCAGGCTGAGACAGCCCTATGGTTTATACTATTGTAGAGCTCAGCTTTAGAATGCCAAGTACTGTACAAAGGCACATAAGCGTCATGGAGCTGGGGAACAGATAGTTGTTTATGGATTTCACTGCCTGGCTGTGAATACCTTCAGCTGCTATTACTGTAAAAAGGGGGGAAAAAGCATTCCACAACTGCAATTTGTTTTATTATGTTGGCTTATGCTGAAGGCAGAATGGAATGAGATCTAATGAATTTCAAGGTAGGAATTCTTGCTACTTCAGATTTGAAGGATTTTATATGCTTCTTACATATCCTTTTATGCAAACATGAGACGATGGCTTGCTTCTGAGAATTTTATTTATTTATTTGGGTCATGCATGTTCATCTCATTCTCTGTATTTCCCAAGAATTGCTGGATTGAATTTCTACTCAACTTCTGAGCTTCTCTCAGAATGTCATCATGAAGTGCAGCAGGTAATTACATTAGTTTAGTCTTGCCTAACCTTACAGTTTAACAAAAACACAGGTGTATGAGTCTCTCTTCCCAGTACTTTTGTTTGATATGTTTTATATTAATAATTTAAAATTCATAGATAGAAAACCCTTGAGAACTGTTTTAATGCTGCACAAATGTACCTTTGCAAGGAAAAATACATCCCTAATCCTGCAGCCTATGGATTATGGTCCTAGATGTCTAGAACATAGCTTTTCTTCTTTCCCACCTAATTTTCTTTCTACAGATTTAACTGAACAGCTGACAGTGAAATAACTTTTGAATGTCGTGTTTTCAGGGAAGAGAGAGATCCTTTTGAGCTTGGTCGCAGTGTGGAGTGATAAATACTGAGAACTCCTTTATGCAGTGAAGTCACTCAGGCAGTAGCAGTGTTCCAAATATATATTCACGGGTGATCTGAATTTATAATTAGGCCCTCAAACCCTTCGAGTATAATTGTACAAATCAGCGCTTAGATAAAGCAGGATTTGGTTGTGCCATACTGCCGTGTGAAAGGAGGGATGGATAGAGACAGATATGGATAGGAAATGTGCAGCAGTACTTCTGTCCTTTTCTCTGTTCAGAGTTAGACTCTGGAGGTGGTCTTGACTTTTTTTCTTTCTGTGTTTTTCTGACATGAAGCGCTGTTAGAAACACATTGATCAGTAACTCTGTATTTCACCGTTTTGCTGTTGCTCAGTGAACTGACGACCACAGCATCCAGGGTACTCGGTGGGAAGGCAGATCCAGCAGCCATACAAACTGCTGCTCCGCCGGCAGCCAAGAGCATGACCAACAAATGGCAAGAGTGCCTCGAGAGAGCTACAGAAAGAAAGTGGGGAGGCTGCCCTCAAGCCCAAATGTCTTGCTGGGTCTGCACTAATGGACTCTAAGTCTACAGTGAAGGCAGGACCCCCTGCAATGGAGAGAACATGCAGTGAGACCAAAATACGGACTCAAGGTAGCTTAGGAACTGCTGCACGTTATCAGGATTTGGGTGTTGCTGGTTTCCTGTGGCTTGTAGGAAGCATGACACACACAGACCTGGCCTGAAAGCAGGCGTGAGGCTGAGGAAGTCTCTCCCGTGGAGTTTGGCTCCAAAGAGCCTGGCCACAAAATGCAGAAAGGTTTGTCTGTGACTTTGGTGGCTGTTTTGTCTTGTCTTCTACAAGATGTGAGTGATTTCTAGAACTTTTTACTCACTGGAGCAATTTTAAATATGCCAAAGTTTCTGCCCGCGGGAGTGACGCCAGTAACTGCTGACATGGCATTCCCTACTGACTGCGTCGATTCGCTTTCAGCCGTCACGCTGTGCAGGTCTGGCTTCTCAGAGAAGAAGCCACCTGTAATCCGTGGCTTGAGAAAACTGCTTTTCTGTGGAGGAAAAAGGCACAACAGAATTGAGATATGGATTATTGAAGGAGGATTATCTGAGCCCTTTTGAATTTTCTTCTCTGGGTGATGGACAGTATTGGGCTTTCTGGAAGCAAACACACTGCAGAAATTCAAGTTTCTCTTGCAATTGCATTGTGGCCTTTTTTGGCCTCCCTGCTAAAGAACTCATATTGACTTCTGTTGGGAAATTAAACCGATACGTTTCTTTCACCCTACTCCCAGAGTTTTTCTCCTTATTTCCAGATTGTTGTTTTTGTTTTTGAAGCAAAACAAACCCCACAATGTTGATTACATTTTTGGGCGTTCTACTGCAAACCACCACTCACTTTTATTTAGTCAGAGAAGATGAGATATAAACATTCTTATTAATGCATCTGCTAATAATTAACTTGCACCTGTACCAAATTTATTAGCTACTTTTGGTGATCTAGTAACTTAAGACAATAGGTCCAAGTGATGCATCTGTGGATATTCTGATCCTGGTTTTCATAATGCTATTACTACATACACCTTGTGCACAGCTGGAGGAATTTGGTTTCAATAGTTACACCAATCTAAAACCGATGTAGCTTATGACAGGACTGGGCTTACTGGTTTTCTTGAAGTCCTTTACAGAATATTAATACTTTTGTACAAAATCTGCTTGTAAAATTTTAAGTCAATCCTTAAAGTTTAACTTTTCTTCTATAGTGAAGTATTATGTTGTAAAATTGGTGTGAAAAGGACTGTTAGTGTTACAGAGCTGTTACTTTTGTGGCTGCACAATATCACAAAGAGCAATAACACCCTTTAGGGAGAGGAGGGAATAAAATCAGGTGTGTCTACAGGCTACTTCCTTTAACCCAATGCTACTTCTCACTGGAGAGAGCACCTGCGAACGTTGACAAGGCTTGCTGTTGGAGTTAGTCTTCTGGGAGGTCACTTTCATTGTGTCTTTTTCATGTCTTTCTGAATTTTCTTTTTTTCAAGTTTCAGCTTGGTGTTCTGTATTTGTTTGAGCAGCTCCAGAGACTCGTGAGTGGATTGAAATCCTGGTAGAAGAATAGGAACAATTAATTAAACAGTGGTTGCTTTCAACATGTTGAAAGATTCTTTTTTTTCTTTGCAAATGTTCCTAACCTATGTTTAATACAGAGCACATAAATCTACTCTATTCCATTGTTTTATTGAATACCATAGGCAGGCAGTAGCAGCTTGGGTTGCAAGCTCCTTGCTATAGGAATCGTATCTTCCATTCCAATACATTGGACAATACCAGGCATAATTACACGTAGCAGTAAACTGCCATTGACATCAGATTTGTGGTGTGGAGTAGAGAAAATACTATCTGCTTTTAAAACCAAGGGTATTGTTAGCCTTAAAACATATTGTTCTTCCATTGAGCATTGGGATTGACTTTTTTTTTTTAAGCCTGCAGTCCTTATTTTGAATCAAAGACGCTGTGTTCCCACTGGACACTGATGCTGTTGCTCTGCCTACCCAGATAGCAGGATTGGTGCCACAGTTCAACCAGAGTTGTAGCAACTGCAACTACAAGTAGTAGCAAATACAAGTTGCAATCCAGCTGAGAGAGACGCTGTTTTGTTGTGTGCTTCTGGGAGAACGGGAGCCCAGCTTCACCAGCCGGGTGTTTGTGCGTGTGAATATAGGTGTGTAAAAAGAGAGAAATGGGAGTGTTCAGGCACATTTTTTTCCAAAAACAGAGCTACAGAGGACATGATGGGCCTTTGTTGTCCAGCCATGAAAGAGTTAGAGGGTTAAGTGAAGATTTGCTTGATGCAAAAATGCACTAGACGTTTCTTTATAGATAATGAGGGATAATGAAGGAGCCTTAGAAAAATATGTGAAGAGGGGGACACGCGTCCTTGTAGGTCCAAAACATTTGGCTGTTAATCATGAAAGAAGGAGCCGAATCAAGGACTTCAAAGACTGATAAGGAAGACATCTTGTTACGAGAAAAGATTAATGAGATTAGAAGAATACCACAAATATTAAGGGAGAAACAATGGTAACTGGGGGAAGGGTAATTCTGGCAGGGGGAGATGGTGACCACCGACTCACAGACTGCCTGCCCTAAACATACCCCAGACCCAAAAAGAAAGGGGCAGAAGAAAAGGACTGAGCATGTGAAGTAATTTATATGCTAGCTGAGAAATTTAATCAATTAAGAGCATAACAATGAATATGTAAATATATATAATACATGCTGTATAAATGTTTACAGAAACTTTGAAGGTGTGTGCTGTCTTGGGAAGGCACCCAAACTTGCGCAGCTTGGGTCAGTATGGCTTATTGCACACCGTGTGAATGAACCCCAGGCTTGGGAAAACACCTTGTTTGAACCCTCACGCAGTCAAATATTGTCAATAAAGACTGGAAAAGTAGAATTGTGAGCTGCTGTTGCCTAGCTGTTTCCAGACTGCAGTAACTTTGAAATTACAACAGAGTACTTCACGTTTGTCCAGCGTGTCACATAGGTTCTTGCTTATTAGCAAGCAAGCAACCTAACAGTGGATTAATCTTAAGTCTCATCTTTTTTTTTTTTTTTCCTTAAGTGCCTATTGTCACCTGGCAGCTGATGACATGTTTCTTTCTTTTTGGAAGGGTTGTTTAATATGGATTAATTTTTTCACTGCTACACTCTAGATAGTGTTCAACCAGATCATTGCATAGTGCTTAGAATTTTGTAAATTCCAGACATGTCTCTGATTTCCAAGATGTCAATCTATGCTGAAGCACAAACAGCTCCTGAGACAGTCTGTGGGCTGCCCCTGTGCCCTTCATGCTGCCCCACACCTCTTCAGTGTCTTTTTTGGGGGTGAGCCACTACCAGAGGACTGCCATGGGAAAGAGCAATCCTTGGACTTGAGTTTGAACATGAACACAAGGAGGGCCAAAGTTTGGTATAAATAGATCTTTTCTGTCATTAATTTCTGCAGGCAGGAATTTGAAGTTAAGAACTCTCTGCTTTCAGCATCAGAATCTTTTATTCTGAAATTTCTTAGCCACAGCTTGCTTTGAGATGCTGTCTTGTGCTGCCGTAGATGGTCTTGGAGATAGCAGAGCCTTCCCGTGTCAAGCCAAACAAAGACTTTACCTAATTTAGAGCTTGGTTTGCCGCAACCTTGGAGGAGGACTTGTAGGTGGGTTGCAGATAATGAAGGAATTGGAGCTGAAGTAAAGAGCTGGGGTCCTCAGTCACAGACAGCTTTGAAAATGAGAACCAGACGCTTGAGTTTCGAGTGAGAACGTGTAAGATGTGAAGCCCTTGTGTAATGATTTTCAGCCATCTGTTCCCTTGGAGAGAGGGCTGAGGATTTTTTGGGGTTTTTTTTTGATAACCTGATGGATCTGCTGTGTTTCTGTGACCAGCGGCAAGCAGAGGGTGTTACAACAGATGCGGTTTGAGTGGCACAGGATAAATTATAGTGGGCAAAATCTTCAATGTTATCTAAGTGCTCCTCTCTTCACTTGCACACTTGGTCTGTGTCGGGTAGCTGTAACTCATCCAGGTGCCTCTTTCTCCAGCGACTGTTGGTTGAGAATGGGGAGTAAAGGATGGAAATGATACAAAACCATCAAACACAGTCTCAGCAGCAGGATCGGTGCAAAATGAAATGACTTGCACATCCCAAAGAAGGTTAGAGGCCTTGCTAACAGAAGAAATAGGTGCTCTAAAACATCTGGAAAACAGGTCGTGAAATTGCCTTTTAAATGATCTTTTAGACTCTGTGGAAGAGAAAGCAACCTGCGACAAACATCATGCTGGCTGTTGGCAAAGACAAGTGTGCTAACCCATACACCTCTGAATCGGGGTTTGGGAGAGAGAAATAGTCATTTTAATGTCTTTCTGTCTTTACTGGAAAGTATTTTTTGGAGCATCAGGTTACTGTAGAAATTTATTTTTAAAATAAATTGCATGAAAGCCCAGCCTCACCTGATCTGTATTCATTCTGGATTTCCTCAAGTTCCTTCCAGATCTGTTTTTCAAATCTGGTGATTCTTGCATGCAGGTTTTTTTCATCTCGTTTCACCTGGTTCAACTGCTTTTCGTATTTCTGTGGTTTATCCATTTGTTCTAGCTTCAGTGACAGAAATAGGAGCTTTTCTTCAACTCTTTTTTCTGCCCTTTCCTTTAAATACATAGCAACACAGGTAAGACATTTTAAATATGCCCACATTAACCTGCCTCCTGCCAACCACGCATTCCATCAGCCTTGCTTCCTAATCCCATGTGTGACATCACCGAATGAATGCAGGTGAGGTCTGGTACCCTGGAGGATGTGTCAATCCTCTCTTCCCCAGCCAACCAAATAAACTGTGAAAGAGGAGCTGGGCCAGGACAAAGGTGCTTTGCAAGTTCTTATTTTATTTATTTGTTCATTTTAAATCCAGTGATTTGCAAAGTGCTAAGTTGTGATGATCGCACGTCCATTGCTTCTGAACTCTAAAGGGGACAGAACTGCATATGGCGAAGGAGGAAAAGCTTTCAGAGCTGTGAAGGAATTCATTAAAAGGCATCAGTCCTGTGCCAAGTGCTAACTGCTGCTGTGGAACCTCAGCGCTTCGCGTTTTAACGTACTGATGGCAGGATGAGGGTTTGTCTGTATTTAAAACTGGGCAGGATCTGCAACAGACGATCCCGTCTTTCTCTGAGCTTGTCAATGAACGAAACCGGGTGGGGTTCAGTGGTGGCCCCGATGCTCACCTTGGGAAGCGGTGCTACCATCAGGGAAGACTATTTCCTGGGAAGTCCAGAGCATTGTGGGATCTCCATCCTCAGAAACAAAAATCGGTTGGATGACGCTCAAGCCCTGACTTTGCTGTTGGCCCTGTTTGAGTGAGGGGTTGAACCTTATGACTTCCAGATATCCTTTCCAAAATAAATTAAACTATAATACACAATTTCCATAACTCGCCATTTTGCTGGTGTGTCCTGAGGCATCTGGTTTTGTGTCAGATCTCATTTTTTGTGTGCATGATTTGGTACCTGCTGGGATCAAGGCACCAGGAGCAGTGCTTCTCGCTCCCAGTGCTCAGAGAGCTGGAGACCACCCCACTGCCCCGGGCTGCCGTCCTGGGAAGTCTTACCAGTCTCTCCTTCACCGAGTCAAGCAGCTGATGCCTGTGCTGGGCTTCATCTTCTTCAGTCTGTGTCAACCGCACCTGTGTCCACTTCCGATGAGTCTGTATCTGATCCTTGAAGTCACTTAGAATACTTGTAAACCTAAAATCGTGATTATTTTTTTAGTAACAAGGCTAAGGCTTAGGCAGTTTCATGGAGGGGTCTGGAGTCACTTGAGTAAATTGTCTGAATTACTCCAAATCTCCTCAATAGCTTCCTAACAAGCCTCAAGCTCAATTATTTTATTAATTTTTACCTTGAAGGTTGTACCTGCATGTTAAAATGTGATTTCTAAAGCATGGTCTACTTTAGGAAAATATCTGCAGGCTGAAAAATGTTAATTCTCATTTGAATTAACTCTTAATTTGAAGCGGATGAAGAAACTACACTATCCCATTGAACATCAGCTGCACTTCTGGGCATCAAGGAGAGCAGCAAAATCACTCGCGGTCTGAAAACGAAGTTCATAAGGATAAAAAAAGTTTAAAATACTGCAGACAAAAAGAGAATGTCAAGTTAAACGGAACTTCAAGTTTTAGATTTTGCTTTTCTTATGCTGCAGCATGTAATTTACAACACAAGCCTTGGCAAGATGTGAACTTAGGTCCAAGTTGTAGTCATCTATATAAATTTTCAGGCTTGTGCATATGACCTGACTGTAGGAGCATCACAAAAATTTTAACGTAATTGTATTAATTTCTAATGTGTGCTTACACACAAACAATTATCACTTGAAATTTGTTTGGGCCTCAGTAAGGATACAAAGCAACAGGAAACGAGCAGGATTTTGTAGCTGATCTTAATGCTTACGGCACTTCTAATATTTAATATCACTTTTCAAAAGACTTCTTGAGTGAAAGTGGGTTTTTATACCAGATGTTTAATGACAGCTTTGTGTCAGTCTAATGAAGTGATAATTAATGTCAGCAGTCACTGTAAACGTGGTAAAAAACCCCTAATAATAGCAAAATTTCTCTGAGTGATACGCTATTGCAGTTTGCCATAGACAGTGTCTTTTTGAGCTCTTCTACACAAGCAGTCTGTTGGGTCAGTTTATCACTGTTACTCATTTTAGTAGTTCTAAGATTCGATTTTTCAAGAGTAAGAACCAGAAGTATTGAGTTTGTCATTTATAGTCCTACCACGCACCTATGAACATGCACATAGCGTTTGCTTCCTAGAGCACTCATCTTTGTTCATGAGAAAATAAAATGCTATTGTGGTGTCATGCTGATGATACAGACCAGCGTCCAACCTGAGCACAGGGAGGGGAGGTATAGAAAGTATTTCTCAGACCTAACAGTGAGCCAGCTGGCTGGAATAACAGGAATTGCCACCCAAACCCTGTTCTGGAAAGGTCAGGTAGGGATGGGAACAGCACTCTGTTGAAGCCACCACTGCCTGCTCTGAGGTCGTTGTCAGGATGCAGGACCTTCGTACCTGAGGATCAGTGGACAGGTTGGTCATTACAAGAGTTATAGCTCTATTTGACTGCCACAATAGGCAATTATAGGACTTATACCTCTTCAGACAGATCTTTTGTCCAGTTATTTTCATTTATACATACATATATAATCAGGAGGTTTTCAACCATCAAGCATAGAACAAAGGTCCCATGCCATTGTTTGTGTTAAGATTACTGAACAAATTTAGGGAATATCATTTAATGAGTGAAGATGAATTAACCATGAATGACAATTGATGGTCAGCTTTGTTCAAAGGTTCAAAACCAAACTTTGCATAGTTGACAGCTGGCATCTGACTTCACTCTGATTTCTCCAAAGTTGGAAAAGGGGGAAGAAAGAAATATTTGAAACTAAAAATGAATTATGTGAGACTGTATTTAGGCAACTTGGAAAAGATTTGACCATCAAGCAAAGTCTGCCTTGGGGAGAACAGGAAGAACTACAGAAATAATTAACATTTTATAATGTTGTTTAGTAAATACTGAAAATTATTTTAATGAACCACACTGGCAGTTACGGATTTATCATTGAGGTTTACGGCTTGTGTGGTTCAGACCAAACGATCACAATGGTCTCTTTGGGATGCAAACCCCATGAACCACAGTCAGGGTGTGGCTCTGCCGAGGAGGATGGCGGTGGCTGGACCCTGTGTCTGCAGAGACATGCTTGATAGTGACAAGATTATGATTAATAATAAAATTATTATTAATTGATATTATAATATGAATGATTTCTTATTAATAATAAAGCAGTACTATGTTTTATTTTGTTTTAAACTTTCTTCGATTAGCATCCCTCCTGCACAGAGCTTACAAAAACACATCTGGCAGGAGCGAGGCTCTGGGAACAGATGATTTGCCACAATCTTTGGTCCAGCAAAACCCTGAAATATTAATAAGAGGATACTTGTGGGTATTTAATAAGAGCAAACTCCGCTAGTGCTACAATGATTTTTCCCATGTGACAATAGATCTATTGTCGATTGAATTCACCCTGTGCAGATGAATGCTGCTATTCCAACCTAACCGACCCCGACAGATAAACATCCTCTCGCCTAAGTGTGAAGGGCCGAGTTTCTGAGCAAGGCACAACTCCCATGAAATCCTGAAATACATTAAAAATTCATTGTTTTTCAGCAACCGTATCGGTTCCTACTTTTACGATGCAACAGGCAGACTGCAGTGGGAGATGACTGAGTCTCAGACAACTTCATGTCAACTGAAGAGGTAACTCTGGGCTTTAAAGCTGATTTAAACATGCCAAGTTTTATGGGGATGATCCAGTCTGTTCCAGAAGTTAAATTTTATTTCAGCTCTATAAAAAGAATACATAAATCTGGTAGACTTTTAAAGGAGCAATATAAAAGGAGACAGACATTCCCCAAAGGGCATGCTATTTTAATTACATTTTATATTAACTAGAATAAAATCTCAAAGTTTAGTAAATAAATATATTGGAATCTGTGTTGCACACACGATGCCAGCCCATCCCAGTGCCTGGAAAGCCACCTCTTTTCAAGCTTCCTATTCTGATGACCATTTCAGTAAAGTCTCATTAACTTTTGAGAAACTCAGCAAGTACTTCAGTTTTCCAATTTCTTTCTTTTCTGGCATTGTTCCATTGTTCATTCCCTCTTATTTTGGTTGCATTTCTTGTCTTTTTCACATTGTCTTGATTTCCACCATTTACTGCTTTCTGTTTTCCTTTTCCCAGTTTTATTTCATTTACCAATTTAGCTTTTACTTCTCTCTTCAATCCTGCTCCTTTTCCTGTTCTCTCGATGAGAACTTTCTTCTGTTTAAAGCCCTAGCCTATTTTTACCTCTGAATATAATTCATATAAAATCTTAATTAAAATTAATCTTTATTCAAATGCTTCACCATTTTAAGGAGAACTATTGTTTTTGAAATATCATTATTGCAGGATTATTATAATTAAATTTTCAATTATTTGTGCTGGATCTGCTATTAAATGCTGGGGTGTTTGGCATTGTTCAGAACATGGATGCCATATTCTGACACTTTTGTTCATCGCATCCTTCCCCAGAGCTCCTTCCTCTCTAAAACTCATCAAGATTAAGATGGCACCCTAAAAGTACTTCTACAGCTAGAGTAGGAAAAACATACTGCGTAAGTAAGGAACAAATAAATCACAAATTTGTGGGCACATGAGGCTGTGCAGCTGCTTTAGCCTTTTTTTTTAGGCCACCTTTTTTCCCCCAGCAGCACCCCTGCCCCAGGTGGCTGTCTCATAAATGGGCAGGCGATCAAGTGCGTAAAGAAAATGTCTTGTTCTGCACATTAGGCAGGTCACAAATTAGCCCCAATTATAATGGTAAATAGAGACTTTGTGTTTGGTGCCGTTCTTTTAAGTATGGGAAGTTAATTGGTTTCATACCTTTCTTCTTACAGGGTGGCATTTAGCACCTCATTTTAAAAATTAGCTTGCAAGACAATATACTTTCATTATGTATTTTCATTATTTTATGGCACAGATCCTCATTAACCTTCTCATAGTGTTTTGAATGGATGTTAATTAGTGGGTTTGTTTTGCTGTTTCATGGCAACCTGTTCATCACACTAAAGCTTTCAGGGCGAATTACCATAATGAAAACCCTCCATCACCTACTTGAAATCCAGGAGTTGCAATTCCCGATGTTGATCTCCCTGGACTGTCTTTAAATTCGAGCTTTGATCAGAGTTGGAAGTCTCCATCTTGCCTAAGAGCTGCATTACCTAATGAGAATTCAACAGAGAATGCCTTTATGAGCCAGACCATGAGCACTTACATTTAAATATGAAGTATAAGTGCAAGCACGGAAAGAAACAGCGGGCATCAAGTTATAGCTACACAAAACCAAGCTTTTCTCACAAATAGTTTCGTTCAATAAAGGCTGAAGACTTGAGCTCAGGGTCACCAAGGCTGAAAGCCCTGTGGAAGCCAACGCCTTGGTGGAGGAAGGCTTCACTATTCCACGCACGGGTAAGCAATGCTCTTTTTTATTTGAACAAGGCACTGGGCACCACTCAGATTCCCCCAGCAGTGGCAGGAACTGAAAGGTAAATCCTTGACAGAGTGTGTGTGTTGCAAATCCTTGGTTGTCCAACACCCAATGGGATCCCAAGAAGAGTGAAGAGAGGTTCACCTGCGATGTTGAACTCTTTGGTGGCTGCAGCACTAAGGTGGCACCTGGGGAACGTCGTTCAAAGTATCCACCTCCCCTGCGATGTCCAGGCTGGAGTATGCACCCCCGGCTTTGCGCAGCCACATGCTCTGTAGGCTGTGGGATGTCCCAGGCACCTGATGTTCTCCCACACTTCTTTGGTTTGAGATGATGCCTTTCATGGGATTGTTCATTGTTGGGGCAAGGGAAGAGAGACTGCTTCAGCAACCTGACCTGGAGCTTCTCAACTGGGATGCAGAGAACAAGGTGGGTCAGCACCCCACGTCCTGGGGGGATGGACACCCCTTGGCACAGCAGTGAAGCAGTTTGGAAACTCTGTGGGTCCTCCAGCAGCTGTATCTGTTGTTTCAAGAGAAGTTAGATGTTTACCTGCCTCTGGAAGATGGAGTGTGAGTGACTGGAAGCCACTAGAAACTCGTTTCTTCATGACATCACCCTCTAGGAGTTTTCCCTGGGCACCGTGGGTCGTGTTAGCCACTGCTGCAAGTAGACACTGGGTCTTGAAGGACAGTCTGATGCAAGGGATGAGGGATGCAGCCTGCCTACCCTCAGTTAATTAGTAAATTAAAGAGGATGTAAAAACCTAGCCATTCTCTTTAGAGATTTTACACTAAATGAGCACAAAAAATCCGTGGCGAGGAGATGCCACCACCTGTTCGGTAGCCATAGTAAGTCAGTGTTAAAAAGGTGTCACTGAATACTCATTACATGGACTCAGTATATTCTCCCTTTACAACACCTGACTCCTTTTCAGAAATCCTTTCCCTTCTCCTTTCCTACAATCACGTGAGAATAATTTTTTCCTTTTCTGCTGAGGAAGTTTTTTCTGCATACTGTTCAATGTCTACCCTGGCTTATTTTCACACAATTTTGTGTTTCGTGTGACTCTGACACAATCACATCTTCTCCATTCCCCATTTCTAGGTGAAGACGACTATTTTTCATAGATATTCAAGGAGACAGATGCCCAAACAGTGTCTTTTAACAGAATTCCAGGTAAGGTTTCTTGAAGTTCTGCCATGAGTAGTTTTTCCGTGGAGAAGAGGGCCCTGGGTAGGCGAGGTACACAATGACTGGCACTGCGCCTTGTGCAGCAGAGTCGTAGTCAAAATACAGTAACGAGATTATATTTGACACCGGAGTGCAGGAGAAATTGAATATCCCATATCTGCTCAACTCTGGTGGGTGCAGGTTATGTCTAGTTTGAAGCAGGAGCAGAGAGCCATCATGCTGCTGGTTGAGAAAGAAGAATTTTCCACTACAGCTGGATTCTTGTGAAATATTACTGTCAAAGCTCCTGGTCCTGCTAGAGGCTCCAAAACTGCTACTGAACATAGTGAACTTCTCGCAAGGAAAGGCCAGTTATAAGGAATGATAGGCAATAACAGTGCTTTACAACTACTACAACTACTACTAACAACTACCCACTGCTGGCTTATGTACTCCATGGAGGAAAAAATACTCTCACAGAAAACAGCATTTTCCAAAACTTTTAAGTGTTATAGTTTCAAAAGCCTTTGAAATACTGCCAAAATTAAAATGGAGTTGGATACACGCTATTACCTGACTCCTCACATTGCCTTTCAAATAAAGAAAAGCCTGTAGACTGAGATGGCCTTTTTTAGCTCCTAAATGGCTGTAATGGAAATTTGCAGATGCGCTTGAAACAGAGTCATGGTCTTATAAGTTTAAGGGTCTTATAAATGATATTGGGAAACTGTAATGGGTCATTTATGATCTGAGGATTCTCAAATCCTAGAATAATATTATTATCTGTTATTACCTTACACTTACTATAAACACCACTACCATTCCACAGTATCATGGAAAACTTTTAATGTTTTCTTAAATTTTTAAAATTTTTTATTAAAAATCCTGATGTATTGTATAAATACTAGAGCAGTCTTTAAAATTGGCCAGTAATTAGAAAAGGAAGATATAGAGAGAGATAGATACATATATATGCATAGTCACCACTCACCAGCTATTTCACTGTAGGCTTCTCTACTCACCTTCTTCTCAAAATCGCCAACACAATTTTTGAGGGCTGACTGAAGGCCATAGATCTCTTTATTGGTCTTCTGGGCCTCACGCCTGATCATACAGATGTCTCCCGACAGCTTCGCAATGCTTGCTTCGCATCTGCAGTCAAACCAGAGACAGGAGAGCCTCAGCAGAGGGATGCTGGAGGGTGGCTGAAGGGGGATGCTGGTGTCCATGCGCTGCCACCGGAACAAATCCAGCCCTCTGGGACCACCTCGGCGAGTGGCGAAACGAGCAGAAACACCCCGTTGCAACAACCCTGATCCCCAATCTACTGCTGTACATTATTGCCCATTAAAATGCTGCTGGAAATGACGGCGAGGGAGCAGGGGGCAGCCAGAGGCAATGCCCTCCCCTGCAGCAGTGATGCCCTCAGGCTCTGGGACAGCTGCAGGAGCCATCCACAGCTCACCAGATCCCACTGGAGAGGTGACCTGAACTCCGAGCACCCCGAGCTTTTGGATGCCTACCAGGAGGGATGGCGCGGTGCTGCTGCGACCAGCCCAGCCCACAGCCTCCGCTGGCTCAATGTAGATGTTGGGGAAGTTTGCTTCTAGAGCAAAAAAACTTCGTGTTTCATAAGGAGCATTTGTCGTTTGCTACTTAAACACTTTCAGTTGCATTCACCAAAAATCTTGTCACTTTTAAAATGGGCAAAGAATGACGTGAAAGTGGCAGCATTAATTGAGTATCGCAGGGATTGAACACCACTCAACCAACTATCATTTCCAGGGAGTATGAATGACTGTTTCAACCTCTGTCTTTAATGTGTTTGTATACGCATTGTGTGTGTGTAGTGTGTATATATGTATTTACATATATATAAATATATATTTTTAACACAACAAAGAAGGTTTTCTTTAGTGTGTATGTAAATATACATATAACATTGTACATGTACTTAACATGGGCGAGGAGATACAGACTTCCCCTCCTGCACTCCTCCTTCACGCCAGCCCCCCACAATTAACCACCTGCCCCATTACTTAAAATGAGAGTGTGGAAAAAAATGTCCTAAGACCACAAAGTAGTGCACAAATTAGTATAAATAACAGAATAGAAGTTGAGTGAGGAAAACAGCGAGGTTTTAAAATGCCAGAGAAATTATCCTCCGAAGCACCACCACCGAATAAAGCCAGTGCTGTTTACAAATAAAGGATCTAAAGAGAAATTTTAAACAGTTTAAATAGACCAGCTTTTTGTCATCTCCTGATGATGCTTAGATATTGTGATACACCTACAGAGTGTGTAGATCAAGGAAATAAAAAAAAAAAAAAGTTGTTGCAGATAATAGAGACTTTATATACACAGGCCGGAACTTTGCTCAAAAGAAACCATTGGTTTGCAAAACATGTACAAAATAGCTGAGAAGGTGAGCATGGATGTGGAGAGGGAGGGGCTATTCCAGAGCTGGCTGTCATCATGATTTCTCTGGTGGCAAACCTAGAAAACAAGCCAGGAGCTGGCGAGGGGACAGGGCACCATGGTCCCGGGGGACAAAAAGTCCTTGTGGGGATGGGGACAGGCGGCATCATGGTGGGTCAGGGGCTCCTTGCATGGTGGGAATGTTGAGGTACGCTTGCACAAACAAAATGAGGTTGGAGTTGAGATGAGAGGTCAGTGGCTGACTGGACCAACGCATAGACCAGCTCTTTCAACAGAGTTTGGAGGATTAGGGCTCACCACTCCCTTGGGAAAATCCCACCTCAAGGCAACAATTACAAAGCTTTGCAATGGGTGCATAGTGTGAGAAAGAGGAGGATTGATGGATCTGTAATCTCAGTTACAAGAGAAAGAAACCTGAATATTCTCTGCAGAGAATATTTAAAAATAGAGGATTTGACAATAGGATCCAAAGAGCCCAAGAGCCAGGCTTGCAGCATGGGATTAATGCAACTACGTCTGCATTACTGTGTACCCGAGGGACCTGCAGACATGGTGAGCTTTGCAAAGACCCTCAGCACTGCTGAAGTGCCTTAAATTTCTGGTCCTGCTCAGATCTCACT